ATACCTGCTGCTGCCATCTCCTTCATCTTTTCTTCTGTCGCTGCATACTTGGCTAATGGTAGACGACGTGGACAGAGGCGGATAGGACGGGCCACGCCAGTGTCTATGTCATGCTGTACCAAGCTTGTGTGTACAGTCCTCGTCCTTGGCAGCAAAGATATCAGAGAAAGTCTTTAGCAGCTCCTGTAACAGGAGTCTTTAATCGAGGCCAGCCAGAACTGATGGTTGGTGGTGCAAGCGGCAACAGTCACTGGCAGCAGTCTTGTTCACAGTGACTGTGGTTATTCTCCTGTTGGTGATCCTCCATCCCTGGGGTTTCTTACCGCTGGTGTTTGGAAGGAGCCCAGGGCAGATCAGTGAGATGGTGGCCCCTGTGTCCACCAGGGCTCTACACGCTGACCCATCGATACTGCAGTCCACAAATAGCCCATCAGCTTGACCCAGACGGCCAATTGTTAGATTTAGCACAGGGAGGGGAGAGAGTTCATCATTAGGAGGCGGGCCCCTCATTGCGCCCCCCTCATCTAGTTTAACTGGCTGGGGTGCTGGTCTCAGCGGAGCTGGGCAATGGCGGGCAACATGACCCAGCTTGCTACAATGGTAACAGTCCTTGTCAGCCTGCCTTGCTTCCCTCCTGATGCTTTGCAGTTGACATTTTGGTGGGAAACTGTGAACCACACGTGACACTTCTTTCTTTTTGCCACTGTCGCCCAGCTGACGGACATTAGGTCTCGTGCGTACTTGGTTCTCACCGAACACAGTACATGTGAATGCGTGGAGGGCCTATTCCTCTCAAGCTGTACTCTCAGAGGTGGGGTAGCCCTGGTGTGCATAGAGACAAAGGTCAGCGGCGTATGCACCCAGGCTCTCTTTCTCTTGCGGCTGTGGAGCTTATCTCTGGCATCATCTGCAAAGCAACATGAATAGCTGTCTCCTCTGATGACCATGCGTTGAGCTGGACAACTAGCTGTACTTGAATAAGGTAAGTGGTGGCGTCTCCCCATTGTAGCGCGGCAGTTTTGCCTTATTTGGGGGGGACGTGGTATGTATTGGCGGGAGTGGAGCCGGTGACTATGCGCGCGAACAAATGGCGCTCTGTTACCTTGTGCTGCGCTGATTAGTTACTGTTCTCGGGGCGCTGCTCCCGTCAGGTTGACTCACAGTGCCTCCACCTCTCTGCCTCCTCATAGCAGGGGTATCGCTGCTCTCTTGCGCTCCTGGAGTGGCCGCTTGTTTCCATAGCCGGCTATCTTCTCTAGCTTCGATGCACGCGATGAGCTCTTCTATCTAATTCAGCGTAGCTGCCATCATCCCACTTCTGACACCAATGAAGCGCAGCGGTAAAATGAACTGGCGGCAGCTTGTGATTTTATGATAGAGTGGTTTATTAATTACCTGGAATCAAAGCTGCTGTCGGCCACAGCACACGCCAAAACAACACGGAGCACAACTGACTGACTCAAGCTCTAAAACCAGTCGGCTAGTGATGTGTCGGTCGCGAGTGATTCGTTCAAAATGAACGAATCTTTCATGTGAGTCGTGACTCCCGAGTCATATGTGCAAACTAATCTTTCACTGTGAACTAATCTTTCACTACGATCTAATTACTATGCAAACTAATCTTTCACTGTGAACTAATCTTTCACTACGATCTAATTACTATGCAAACTAATCTTTCACTGTGAACTAATCTATCATTGCAAACGAATCACTCTCTATGAACTAATCTTTCGCTGTGAACTAATCTTTCGCCGTGAACGAATCATTCGCCGTGAACGAATCATTCGCCGTGAAATAATATTTCGCTGTGAACTAATCACTATGAACGGATCATTCTCTGTGAACAAATCTTTCGCCTCGTTCTCGCAGATTCGTTTTATTTGTCACGTGAAAGAGCTCGGGTCTTTTTTGCTCTCATTCATCTTCACATTGTGGTGTGTTTTTATTTCTTAGCTTTTCATATGGTTTTAATTACTTATGGCATTTTGTGTACTTTGTAGACTTTGTCAGCGGAAGCAAACCATGTTGCCTTATTTAGTGTCGGAGAGCCGCAGCCTTCTTTACAACGCCCACAATAGGGCTAAAGCGCCACCTGCTGTTAAACGAATGAAATGATTAGTTCAAGATTCGTTCACGACTCGTTCATTTTACTGTTCGAGAGTCAAAGATTCGAATCAATAAAAAGAGTTGGTCTTCCCTTCACTACAGTCTGCTTAACCACATGGAACAAAAATACTCGGCGCATGTACGCTATAACATGGTGCGTTTAAGGCACCCAAGAACATTCAGAAAAAGTAAAACACACCTAACCAATTATTCGTCAAACGTCACATTATTATATATTTTGTGATCGTGGTTTCACGTAATTACGTGATAAGTTTTGCGTTATTTCGTCATAAGTTTCACGTTATTTCGTGATAACTTTCACGTATTTACGTGGTAACTCCTACTTTGGGTGACAACGTATCCAGCTTTGATGCAGTTGAGTTGGTGAAGCTTGTATACATGGAGCCTTCCGTGCCCCTCCAGTTGATCTAACGAACGACGCCACCAAGAGGGTCGGATTCGTGCTTTCTTCGGTACAACCCCATGCATTTTAAAATCCTTCTGAGAGTATGCATACTCATAAAAATCTCATCCACTGAGCCCAATTATTGTAAAATCTCACCAAGCCTCAAGCCAATCATAAAGTACAATTCAACTGAATCGTGCAAACGCGCCATA